ATGATGATGATGATGATGGTGATGGTGACGATGATGAAAAACAACACTAGAGCTCTGAAAGGCTCGCGGGCTACAGTCTATTCGGAAACATAATTGAGGAAGTCAAACGTTCTGCAGACCGCCCAAGCGTCCTCACCGTCATACTGCAGAAAACGCCGCGCCACAGCAGTGTTCCTCAAGCCTTCGTATTCCGGCCACTGTTCTGCTTTATGTTAAGGCGAATTAAAGCATTTGTTGCAAGGTGATCAAACACCTGTGCAACAGATAAACAGCAGGGAAGGAACACAAACGGGCCCAATATGAATTAGCTAAAACGGCGTCAAGAAGAAGATCCCTATCTCTGCGGCTAGGGGAGAAAGAGGGATATGACGAGTTGGAGGAGGGTTGGAAATGCAAATTATGAGGTGAAAAATCCTGTGGAACGTTAGAAGTTGAGTAATTTTGCTCACTCCCAAACAGCAGCACAATTCGAAACGCCAACGCTAAAAATGTTCCAGTACCCGCTTCTCCACGTTTTCAGTCCTGTCCGATGCAATTCTGGTACCAAATAACTGTACAACACTCCCCGCGGAGGACAGACATTCAAAAGGATTCCAAATATCTGAAAGGCTAAGCCCCTCCCCCCCCCACCAACCTCGTTTTCGTGGCAGACAAGGTAGCGTAAATAATTCTTATAGAGCGCTTGCGCTGACCTTTAAAGAAGAATCGTCAAACAGCGCACGACCATACATGTGGGCCAACCGTTAAAAAGAGCCAGTCAAACTGTGAGAGTTGCCGAAACGAAGCGATAGCGCACATATGGTGTTTACACAATGACGTAAATAAGGAACAGGTATCATTTTCTCGTAACCGTCTTATTGGGATGATTTGCAAACGGGTAACCGAAAGCTCCTGATGGCAGGTGAAAGGCCCGTAAGGTAGCGACTGTCTGGAGGTGCAATTTAATCATGCTGTGATTGCTAGATCTTGAATTTCATATCAAAGCACGAACCAAGGGAACTGGTCGAACTTTTGACCAGTATTCTACTCCGAGAAGGATAAACAGAACAATTTATGTTTAAGGCATGGTTCGCATGTGCCATCGGCCCCCATTGACCTGCAAGGCGTTTGCACGGGTACAAGGATGAGACCTCGAAAAATCTAGCTAGAGGCAGCAAGAGAGTTGGCATACTCAATAGGATTGCGGAGGAACTATCTGTCACTGCATAGGTCTGCGTGGGGGGTCTATAAGTGCCTTCTCCAAGGCCTATCTGCTGTCGCTATTATTTTTCTGAAAAGAATAGTGTACGTACTTTAATGGTCTATTGTATGAGCGTAATGATACCACCCCTTGGAGTTCATTGTGATTTAAAACTTGCCTAGGTTGCCTTTACAATTTCTCACTTTACCTAATTGCCCTATTGGGGGCAGGGGTTGTCATATGCTCTCGCCGGCTCGCAGGCCGCTGGTTAATTCGAGGCAAAAAGGCGTTAGATCGTTAGATACTGTTGCGTATAGCCTACTTTTAATGTCGAATTATTGCTTAACCCAGCCTGGGAGCCGCATGCAGATTACCATAAAAACGCACCCCGTGATTGTGAAGCATAAGCCAAAATGGGCATCAAGGTTGGTATTCAAAATATTGCAAAATCCTAATTGACTACAGATATGGTCTCTTAATGGTGGCTGAATTAGGCGAGGTGTAGGGTAAAATTGATTAAGTAGAGGTAAGAAAATTAGACTCATGACCAACAGTAACTGGAAATGGCCCATACACGAACCATCGTAATATAACTTTATACTGATCACATTTGAAGAATATATTGAAAGAAAAGTGAATAGCAGATTGAGGCGCGAAAATAAAATACTTTAAGATTGCAATGTGTGCAATACCTTACCTGCGGTGGGATATTGTGAATAACAGTGGCTATGGTCCTATTGTGTCGTAAGGTTAAAATTCTAGGTAAAATCGATATACCTAGGAATTCCCAAGGATGTGCTCAATGCGCGCGAAAATTATGGTCTGATATTAGTCTAGTTGAGATAAGGGCTAAAACTACGAAACATCTGAACGACATCGCGATCGACTCCATATGGGATTTCTATCATGATTAATAACTTTTATAAAAAATATATTTCATAATATTAATACTAATGCTATTTGTGCTTTTATTATTACTTCTACTGATAGCTTTCTCTGCGACCTGAAAGACCGGGTTGTGTTGGTTGATAAATTTGTCCCAATTATATATTTCCTGAAAAAACGATAGCGCAAGTGACAAGTAAATACGCTGTGGCTGCAGACGTCATGAGTGCCTTCATTTATAACTCAAACGTACACGCACAGACTGCGCGCGCTTACACGATGGCCAGTTTAACTGCAAAAGTGCTCCTGAGTGGGGAGACGTAGTGGCCATTTTGAAAGTAAAGACACTTTCGAGGACAGCCACATAGACAACAACACGCCTCTCAGACTCACTTCGGGACTGTTGGTTCAATTAAATAGAGTACTAAATACTGCCTGACAGTGTGTGGCTTTAAATAAATAAAAAAACAGCTGGCTATGCTACAAGCGTTCATGGGGGCAAGCTAGGCCATTCAACAGATTGTACCGCCGGCAACAACAAAAATTATTAGGACAGTTAAGTGATAAATTAAGTGGTTGAACTGTATTGTCTTAGCAGCAAAAATTCGAAACGTTGTGATTTCAGGGCGTTTTTCTGCTAACGTAACGCAGTAACCGCTAACGCGGCAGCGTTTAACAAATTCGGTAAGCTTCCTTGCGTATCACAGAAGCCATGGAAAGTATGATAAAAATTGATAAAATAAACCGATGTAAAATATGGGCAGAGGACTTTTAAGTTAACGGAGTTTGTTGGAACGCGGAAATAGATAATAGAAAAACAGCAAAATAAAGTCTTGCCTTAAAAGTGAGTTCCATCTGCCCCAAGAATGTAGCCTCCTTCACATTTGGAGTAAAGGTAATGTTATAAAGTTCGGGTTTTAAACAGCGAGGAAGCCGTTTAAACTGCTTGTTTGCGTTGGACATCTTTAAGATACAGCAGAACTGACTCGTAAAACCTGATTTCGAGAATGTGCGAAACGATTTACCCAGATAAACAAATTCTGAATGTCAAAGGTGATATATTTAAAGTCACAAGTCCAAATTTTAGTTGCCAAACGCCACAAACACTTCCTTCTTAC